TTCCCCTTTTTTCTGGCCCTCCAAAATCGAGGTTCTTACCGGGTCAACAACCGGACTGAATATGCTAAACTAGTGAGGTAAACACTCTCGACTGCTTATTGGTCGGAGAGAATCGCTGGCAAGGGGGCTACAACTACAACAAAATGAACATATTTTACCGTGATTTCATTGTAATACACGTTTCAAAATTACGCCGAAGTAACAACAAACTGATACCGGTCTGCAGACAAGACGGCAGGCGAAAAACCTTTTAAAATGCGTGTTTTCTAAAAAATGGAGATCAGGCTAAGCTAACGCTCCGACCGTCCATACTCACAACAACGGCCTATACAGACATAAATAAACCAGCGACTGTATTTCGCCATGACACAGACAGTCTGTGGTTTGTACTTGTTTCACTTTTGTCTAGTTTCTGAACAGATATGAGGAGCTGTGAGCTCTGAGTGCTAACAGCTAACGGCTGATGTTTTGGTTTTGTGGTTCGCATTGAAGATGACGTCACGGCAGTTTTACGCAGCGTCGCTCTGCCCGCCGAACAGCCGATCGCCCCGCCTACACTGCGTTACTATAGTTACTACCCCAGTTGGTAAACTGTAATGGAAATGCAGCATAACGTGAGCCTGGCCAACCAAGGCCTAACCATACCGTACTAAGCTGTGCAAGGTCCTGCAGTGGAAAAGCGCCATAAAATCAGTTTAGGCTCTCCATAGAGAGATGTGTCTTTTCTTCATCAATCAATCAATCAATCAATCAATCAATCAATCAATCAATCAATCAATCAATCAATCAAGGACACACTGTGCTAAAATTCATCTGTGCTGTGTCCCCATATGTATTATCCTTAGTTTCCTACAGATTTGTATGAAGTGTGCTGTTTCAAACGTTAATGGAAATTCTTTGTAAAAGAACAAATGCAAATACATTTAAAAACAAGAACGGTCAAAAAACTGTTGAATGCTTGAAGAATAAAACAAGCCTTTACTGTAAATCTTTCACCAAATATAAAAAAATCTCTTTAGGAATAATTCAATTCACCTCATATTGACTTTGTGCTTCTTCCACTGCGATGACATGATTAACACTATGACAGATTATTGCTCTGCTTTCATATTCTAGTTTGAAAGGAGCAAGCGGTCTGGATTTTAAATGTATTTTTCAAATACATATGAGCCGGAAAAAAGAAAAGTGTGCTTATGTGTGATCATGTACAGTATTTACATGAATGTTGCAGTGAGAGTTTGAGTTAAGGCCACTTAATCTGGTCCCAGTTTGGCGATCAGTTCGTCGCAGATCTTAGTGAGCTCCTCAATCTCTTGATTCTGTGGAAGACAGAAAAAGAAAGGATGTTTACAAATGAGTGGCAAAGCTTGAATGTCAGCTCAGAAACACAATTCTGAAAATATGAAAAGGTTTAAATGTAGAGAGAACATGTTTTTTCAATAGCTCCCCGAAGACTCGATGTGCAACATTTGAATAGGATGAATCAGTCGTGCTGTGTTTAATACTAACTGTAAACGCAGTCATTGTTTCATTTGATAGGGCTCTCCTTTAACTTCCCCAGAGGCTGGTGTTAGTAAACACTGCCCCCTGGTGTTAGAAGCCATGCCAGTGTGTTGGCAGACATGCATTTATATCTCTGTGCTGAATGCCTGCACATGATGAACTACTTGCAGTGATTGTTTAGTAAAAGCCAAACACATCGACGGATGACTCTCCCAGGTAAAGGGTTTTCACCTCAATCCTCTAGAGTGTTTGATCAGGACACCATGCCCTGCACTCACACAGGTTAACACAGAAAATCTAATATAATCAGATTGCAGTCGTCCTACCTTTTGAAGGACGGCTCTTTCTAGTGAATCCGCCTTCATCTGCTCCATCCTCAGACTGGCGCTCAGTGCCACGCCCTCAGAATTGGCCTTGGCACGTACCTGTGCTATGTCCTCGTTAGCCCTGTTAGAGAGGAAGTGAAGGAGACAAAGGGGGCCGTCAAATCAAGAGTCTGGTGTTGATTTGCAGGATGAAGAACGTGTCCGGGGATTGAGGGAAATGGAAGCTTACTTGTCCAGTTTCTCCTCAGCGTGCACCTTGAGGGTTTGGTATCGCTGCTCCTCCTGCTTGATCCGCATCAGGTAGTCCTGCGCACACCTCTTCAGCATCTCCTCATTCTGGGCAGATTCATGAAGAGAGTATGTAGTGATCCGGCTATTACGTGGCAGCAGATTTAATAGCATTTTATTACTGAAGCTCTACTGACCTTCTTAAAGCCCTCCAGGACCCCCTTCATGTTCTCGTACCTCCTGAAGAGGTCAGCGAAGGAGCGCTCCACAGAGTTGAGGTCGGCTATTGCCTGGTCCCTCTCCAAGGTCAACTGTCTGACAGACTTACTGCAGGACAGAGTCTTCTGGTTCTGCTCGTCCTCTGCAACATACAGAGGGTGGATCAGAAGATTGAAAGGGTAAGATGAGGAAGAAATGTTAAAGGCTGAAGACAAAGGTTGGCAGTGTTTGCTTCCAGGGCTCCTAGCCTTTAGCATAGCTGACCTGAGGAACGTAGACTACAGAAACCCCCTGATCTCTTTAACTCATCTTTCAAGACTCACTTCTACAGTTTGGATATTTTTCCATTTTAAATCTGTGTATCTTTTGTCATTTTATTTGAGTTTATAAGTTTACAAGTGGTTCTTTTGCACAGATTTTTACTACTGCTGTTGTATTTGTTATTTCTATCTGTGGACTGTGTTTTTGTTTTCTCCCTTGCTTTTTTTGTCTTTGTTTTGAAATGATCATTACAAATGAAGTCATTATTATTTATTATTCTAGGGGGATCAGCAACAAATATAATGATTTTATTAAATTCAAGTAAAGTCAATCCAATTATTTCATGCAATCTTACACTCTTGGCTGAGGGTTTTATTCTCTAATTTTAACTGGAAGAACCCGCATTTTAGTCATGTTTTCTAATGACACAATGCATGGGGGGGGCTGTCATGAAAACCACAAACTACTTAGTCTATAGTCCAGGGCTATTCAATTGGCGGCCCGCGGGCCAAATCCGGCCCCGGGGTGATATTTACTGGCCCTTTGAGTATAATGTTAAAAAGTAATCTACTTTCTTTTTTTTTTGTGGGCCAGAGTGCCTTTATTCCAGGGAGGGTGTTAAATTGAGAGATAGAGGGGAAGACATTGCCTGAAAACTTTGGCGGGCTCGGGTTTCGAACCCAACTAGCTACTGTAGTGACAAACTGTCATTTATTGCATCTCTGCGTGAAATTAGATAATTTCACCTAAATGAAATTATGTTGATGGTTAAATTAGCTTCACATGTAGGCCTACTGAGTTCTGAACTTGCCATTTAGATCTATAAAGGCCTTGGGGCTATGTTGTTTGATGTAATTAAACACAATATATGCACTCCACTATGCTCTTGTAGTATTTATTGTATCTGAAACTCTTAATATGATATTTCATATTTCAAGCCATCTTTTTCCCGGCCCCTTGCTTTGGATCATTTTCATCAACCGGCCCCCATTCCAAACTAATTGAGTAGCTCTAGTCTATACAGTAAGCCAGGCATTCTGAAGCCAGAAGACATTAAACACAAACAACATATACCACCACCAGGGGGCAGCCACTCACCAATCATCTGTGCAACTGTTTTCTCATACTCTGCAACTATGTTCCTGTCAAGTAGAAAAACAGAATGTATCAATGTATTAAGACAGGTTTCTTTGCAGTTGTACTTTCAAATGAAGCAAACATCTAGGGAAACAGTTCCATACCTCATCTCCAAAACCTCCAATCTGCTGTCCTCATACTTCTTCTTCCACTCACTGACCTCAATCTCCTTAGTGATGATCTAATTGGACGACAGGACATGAAGAGAAACAATATTCAGAAACAAATCAATCTGCAGATGCTCTTTATGGAGAGAAATGTTCTGTGACGTACCTCCTCTCTGATCAGGGTGAGCACTGCGGCCTTGTCCATCTCACTCAGAGAGATGTGGTCTTGGGACAGGGCGGCAGCGTCTGAGCCCTCACTGCTGGCCATCTTTGTAGAAAGCTTCATGGACATCTCACTCTGTGGAACATGCAGAGAACATACTGTTTAAGTCCAAGATCTGACAAAAAAACTTCTGCTGTTTCTACTGTTCTTATTAGATCACATGATGTCTGTGCAAAGAGCGATGCAAGAAAACAGTTCTCAGGGGTGTTGATTTTATTAATCAAACATTTGTAAAACCTAAAGCGTGCTCATCTTAGACGAATATTGCATCGGTGAAAACTATTAGATAAAAACATGGATGTTGGAGCGTGAGAAAGCAAAACAGTCCGTTAATGGCTGAACTATCTTCTTACCAATTGAAATAAAGAACAGTTTTGCGGTCATCTTTAAATATCCATACAGAGGTACCCAAACTACTACTACTTACTATATCACTTTTCAGACTGTAGATTTCCTTCTCCTCTGGGTGATCTGTAATCTTTGTCTCAGGACCTTTGAGGAAAAAAAAACATTTAAAGATAAATGGTAACTTGTTTATGATGAAAAACCCCATATCTGAGTTATACAAAGTTATAATCCACACAGTAGTTTATCACTATGCTCAATGTCACTTCAACTTTGAAAAATATGGCAGTATTTGTCTAGTTTTCATGAGATTGTGTTGTTTCCATGGTTAAAATATAGTGTGATTCTTGCACCACTGATGCAGACCAATTCTAATACACAACTATGGGAGATATTCACAGTGTAACACGTCTTACTTTCTTACATTCAGGCCTGGGTTGTGAGTGTGAATTCTCCATTTAACTCCTGACTAAAGTTTGATACATTCTTAGGGCTTTGTCATTTATACATACTCTATCTATACTCCAAACAGAAGTTGCTGAGAAAATCATGAAACTGTATCCCTTTGCTTGTTGGCAGTTTCCAATTCATGCTGGTGTTGGAACTGGCACCTCTCTGGGCATGCCTGCCTCTTTAACACCATGCCTCATTCATACACTGTTTTTTGCTTCATAAAATACTTATCACTGCCAACTTTGTCTATTTTTAAATAAGCACCCAGTGGAGAGTTTGAAACATACCATCCTTAAGACATATATCATCGATTGATTTATCGACTGTCTGTTTTTTCAGAGGTGCTTTGTTGCACTGGGGTTCTCCTCTCTCCTCCTGGATGTCTGCGGTCTGGCCCAACATGCCGGTGCAGGCGAGCTTCTCCTCATCAGTGGCGTGATGAACTCGCTGAGTGATCTCTGGGGTCGAGGCCACCACCTCCTCCTCCTCCTCCTTCTCCTGGAGATCAGGGAGACAGATAGGATCCTTATGTCATACTTCCAGATCAAATATCAATTTAAAAACAACAACATTATACTCTTTTTGTACTTCTCCCAAAATAAGAAAACCACTATCTATTCAGACCTGAAATTCCAAATAGTTAATAAAAAAAAAATTCAAACATAAAAAATAATAACCAATATAAGTATTATAATATAAAACACAAAAGTAGTTTGAAAAAAACACGAATGCACTTCATATTTGTATTAAATGCATCAAATACTATGGAGAGGAAGTGAAGTGTATCAGTTGTATTATTCTGTCACATTGCTAGGTTAGACAATGTCTTGAGTATAACTGCTGCACTACAGACCTGGAGCCGCTGCTGGTGCTCATGTCAGCTTTTATCAAAGTGTGTGTGTGTGTGTGTGTGTGTGTGTGTGTGTGTGTGTGTGTGTGTGTGTGTGTGTGTGTGTGTGTGTGTGTGTGTGTGTGTGTGTGTGTGTGAAAAAGTTCGGCCGCCGAACTTTTTCACACACACACACACACACACACACACACACACACACACACACACACACACACACACACACACACACACACACACACACACACACACNTA